TATCATAGTCCGTTTTCTGTTGCTATAACTGAATACCTGAGACTGGGCAATTTATAAAGAAAAGAAATTTATTCTTAGAGTTCTGGAGGTTGGGAAGTCCAAGGATGGGGGTGCCATCTGATGAAAGCCTTCTTGCTAATGGTCAGTGCAGGGCATCATATGGGGAGAGGGCTCACGAGAGAGAGCCAAGCTGGATTTTTGTAACAGACTCACTCTTGTGATAACTAATCCACTCCCAAGACAACTCATTAATCTATTAGCCCATTAACCCATGAATGCCCTCCTGACCCAATTACCTCTGAAAGGTCCCGTCACCTGCCAATACTATTAAATTAGGGATTAAGTTTCAGATAGAGTTTTGAAGGAGACATTTAAGCCACAGCAATGTGGTTGATAGCTACAATTGATTGGGTTTTTGTTGTTGTTTTTGTTTTAGAGACAGGGTCTCACTCTTTTTTCTGGGCTGGAATATAAGTGACATGATCATAGCTCACTGCAGCCTTGAACTCCTGGGCTCAGGTGATCCTCCCACATGCAGGGCTTAAACCCTAGATGACGGGTTGATAGATGCAGCAAACCACCATGGCACATGTATAGCTATGTAACACACCAGCACATTCTGCGCATGTCTCCCAGAACTTAAAATAAAATAAAAATAAACAAAAACTCTCTGATTCTTCTTGGTGGCAAAGTCATGCTTATTGCCAATTCTCCGGGTGGTTCCTTGCCTACTTTCCTGATATTAGTGATAAGAGAGATGTAGTTCTTCCTCCTCCAAGTTAAGATCAGAGCCCCTGAATGATCTCTGATCTAGGGCAGACTTCCCCACCCCTCTCTGGCACCTGCCGTGTGCCAGGGGCTTCACTCCTGTCCATGAGCTTGTTCCATCGTCAGCCCCAAAAGCAGGTGCCACAGAGGGGTGGTGCCTCCTCACTCCGGACTTAGATGGGCATGAGGGACAAAGATCCCTGGAAGATACAGCCTCCAGTGTAGCTGGGAGTATAGGAGTATGCCACCACACCTGGCTGATTTTTTTTAGTGTTTTATAGAGATGAGGCTCTTGCTCTGTTGCCCAGTCTGGTCTCAAACTCCTGGCCTCAATCAACCTTCCTCCCTTGGCCTCCCAAACTACTGGGATTATAGGTGTGAGTCACTGCACTGGGTCAGCTGACCTTAAATAAAGGAGATAACCCTCAGTAATCTGGGTGGGCATCAGTCAATCAGTTGAAAGGCCTTAGGAGCAGAGCTGGGCTTTCTTGAGAAAAAATTCCACCTGTGGACTGCAGTGTCAGCCTGAGAGTTCTGGACTACCCCTCCTGGGAGCCTGCACGGTGGATCTCAGGCTTGCCTAGCCAGCCCCCACAGTTGTGTAAGTCAATTTCTTGCAACACATCTTTTAATATACGTTGCCTACTGGTTCTGTTTTTCTGGTGGAATCCTCTTAGATGCAGGCAGGCTGGGGAAGCTCCCTGTACCTGGGAAAGGCAGGAGGAATCAGGATGATGGGGCAGTGTCCACGCTGGGGCACTCACTGTACGGCAGACAGTGTGCTAAGACTTCAGTCACCTTTAACCCCCAAGCATCATATGTCACGGTCTTATTATCCCCATTTTATAGTTGAGGCAATTGAGGCACAGAGAAGTTATGTGCCCAAGGTCATATAGCATGCTGCAGGCCTGAGTCAGAAACTTCTGGTTCCGGGGTGAACATTTTAACCTATTTTGTGCCAATGACCTCTGTTTCATCTTGGTGAAGCCACGGACCCCTCCTCTGAATGGTTCTTTCATATGCATAAAGTAAAATAAACAAGGTTACAAAGGAAACTATTTCTAAAAAGTAATCATCAAAATATCTTAAAACTAAACTTATAATACAGTAATTTATGTGCTTTTTTATTAAAGCATTCCATTAACCAGACTGTCCAGGTCTACTTGTCGCATGACTGTATGTCATGTACCTGTGACTATTGTACTGGGCTATGAAAACTCTGTAATTCTCAGAAACAGAAAAGCATATTCTCACTCATAAGTGGGAGTTGAACAGGGAGAACACATGGTCACAGAGAGGGGAACATCACACACTGGGGCCTGTTATGGGGTGGGGAGCAAGGGGAGGGACAGCATTAGGACAAATACCTAATGCATACGGGGCTTAAAACCTAGAAGACAGGTTGACAGGTGCAGCAAACCACCATGGCACATGTATACCTATGTAACAAACCTGCACGTTCTGCACATGTATCCCAGAACTTCAAGTAAAATAAAATAAAATAAAAAACAAAAAATAACTTCGTGATTCTTCTTGGAGCAAAGTCACACTTATTGCCAATTCTCGGTGCACTTCCTTGCTTACCTTCCTGACGTTAGTGATAAGAGAGATGTAGTTCTTCCTTCTCCAAGTTAACAGAGCCCCTGAATGATCTTTGATCCAGGGAAGACTTCCCCACCCCTCTGTGGCACCTGCTGTGTGCCAGGGGCTTCACTTCTGTCCATGAGCTTGTTCCATCGTCAGCCCCAAAAGCAGGTGCCACAGAGGGGTGGTGACTCCTCACTCCAGGACTCAGATGGACTTGAGGAGTGAAGGTCCCTGGAAGACACAGTCAGTCGGGGGAAACTCCCATGCCAAGCTCAGCCCCTCCCACTCTGATGGCCGGCCCGCTCTTGCTCCCGCACTGGTGGCCCACCCCCGGCCTGGATCAGCTTGCATTCCCCACATGTCGCTGGTGTCATGCTGAAGTCCGGCCCTGCGGCTCCCTCAGTGCTCCTCTAGGGACAGAGGCCACAGCGTCTCGTGTTTCCTGCAGACCCTTCCCGTGTTTGTGTCAACCCCGGGCTGAGCTCAGCCAGCTGGCTCACCCTCCTGCATGTAGAATGGCTTTGCTGACTGGCAGCCTGAGGACGAGGCAAAGGTCTCTGGGCAGAGTGAGAAGGGGCAAGGGTGATAGCCAGGCTGCCTGGGGGCTTTGCTTGTCCATCTCCCCACTCACCCCCACCCCGTTCCTGCTGTCAGTCCTGGAGGCAGGAGTAGGGGATGTGGGGGCCTTCAGGTGCAGCAGCTGGAGAGGCATCCCCACATCTTCCTCCTTCCCCCGAAACAACCAGGCCAGCCCTGATGAAATCTCCCAGCATGACAGCTGATTTGGGCCTCAGCCTCATCCCTTCCTCCTCTTTCTCTTCTTTGGAATCAAATATGGAACAGGGAGATTCTCATTCCATATCTCCCCTAACTCCAACTCCCCAAATTTAAGGAAGGCTTGAGTGATTACACTTACCTATCTAGAGTGGGGGAAACTGAGGCTTGGAGAGGGGAAGGGACTGTAGAACCACAATAGGGCCTGGGTTTGCAGGAAAGAGGGCAGTGGGAACACACTTCCTTTTGTGATGTTAAATCCTTGTCCTCATTTTGAGAAATGCAAGCTTCTAAAGGATTTCCTCTTCTCAACTCATACCCCAGAAAGCATTACTGTGGGGGCTTTCGGGAGACAATGCCTTAACCCAGAATTTCTGAGAATGGATTTCACAAATATTAGTGTCCCTGAGAATAATACAGCATAACAATTTTTGAGGATTTTCTACATGGCAGGCTCCCTTCTGAGAGGTCTTCCCTGCTTGACTCATTTAACTTCCATGACAGCCCTATGATAAGGTGCTACCATCATTCCCATTTCACAGATGAGGAAACAGTGCACAGCGAGTGTGAAAAGCTTGGTCAAGGCAACACAGCTGGTCAGTGCCAGAGCTAAGTGTGCAACTCAAGTCAGAATGTTCTAGGACCCATGTTCTACTAGTCAATAAACTGGTCAAATATGTCAGGGAAAAAGAATACGATGATTATCAGTGTGTCAAAGGCTCTGAAAAGTTCATCAAACAAACCAAAGTGTATTGTTATTTCTTTTTGGAGACAAGGTCTCATATGTCACCCAAGTTGCAATGCAATGGTCCAATCTTGGCTCAATACAGCCTTTGTCTCCCAGACTCAGGTGATTCTCCCACCTCAGCACCCCGAGTAGCTGTGACTACAGGCACACACCGCCATGCATGGATAATTTAAAAAAATTTTTTTCTTTCGGTTGAGACAAAGTCTTTACAAAACAGTTTTTTGACACAGAGTTTTTAAGCCAATTTTACCCAGGAATGTTTTTTTTTTCTTTCAAGGATGGAAAGTTCTTTGGGAACTGCTGTCTTGTCCCCAAAGTGACTCCAATGAAGCCCAGATCCTTTGGTAGTGTGGTGGGGCTGGAGGATTTTTCTGGTCCCCAAAGACCCCAAAATTATACCCACTGCTTGGCTGCCATCTCTCAGAGCTGCAGGCCTTTCCTAAATGAATGTGCCAGGATCATGTGTTCCTTCTAAATACTTTACAAAACATGAACATGCAGGATGTAACGAGTTGGGAGGAAGCCCTTTTGTTGTTGTCAAAGCTGCATTTTTAGCCTCATGCTTGACTTCTCTCTCTCCTGCCTGTTGGAGAGGGCTCATGGTTGCCTCGTTATAGCTGTGTTTCATGAGAAGAGTGTGTGTGTGTGTGTGTGTGTGTGTGTGTGTCAGATTGGGTGCACAGAGCAAATAGCTGAGAGGCAGGAAATGGAGTCCGAGAGGCAAGAACAGCTACTCTCAGCCACCCAGCCTCTGGCCGAGGCAGGAAGGAAGTCTCTTGCACAGGCATGCGCAGGGAGGGCAAGGCATAAATGGGGTGTGTGACATTTCCACACAGAGCTATGGCTGCACATCAAAGCCTGGAATGTAAGCTAATTCCTGGATTTCCGAAACCTGATTCCTTCCTGCCAAGGGAAGTCCAGCAGTCACAACCATTAGCACCACGGACAGAGGCAGGCCTGCAGGTGCGCCTTGGGAAAGGCCTGGACTTCAGTGGCTCAAGGAGCAGGCAGGCACTGGTGGGACTGAGTTTTGATAGAGTAATGAGGTATTTCTGCACTGCACCGGGGCTTAGCTGTACTCACAGTCTGTTACTTCTCCCATATCCCACCTACTGGATACAAGGACACAGAGGATAGTGACAAGGTGAGGACGATGGTATATCCACACCCTTCAGGCATGTGCAGAAGAGACAACTGAGGCTCAGCAACACTGTGGCACTGGACTGCTGGATCCCCTGCCTTGCCTGTGTCTTCAATTCTCAGCACATGGTAGCTGCATTGGGAAGGTGAGCTCTACTCGGTGGCTAAGTTCTACATCTGCATGGACAAAGGGCTGAGTCTCCCTCTAGGGGAAGTCCATATGGTCTCGATGAACTTCTTTGAATCAAAAGCTTGCTTCCTCCAGCAATCAATAGCTTTATTAACATGCCAGCCAAGAAGAAACAAATAGCCACAGCCCTCTAGTGGCCCCTAGGGCAGTTGGTGGCTTGCTGTGCCACCCAGGGAAAAACACAGCCTTTGCTGGGATCTCCTGTCTTATTCTGCCCCATCCCACAAATGCATGTTGAGTGCCACCTCAGACCTGCCTGGTGGGAATGAGGAGACCAAATGATAGAATCTTTGCCTGAAGAACATACCGATTCACAGAGAGAAAAGCCACTCAGGGGAGATAGGCTGTGGCAAGGGTCATCTGAGGATTGCCACTTGTCACATGTGCCACCCCAGCCCTGGGGCATAGGTGGTTTGGGGAGGCAAGGTCCATGTTGGCAGATATTATCATGAATGCAAAGAAGGAGGTTGGAAAAGTAACCCCACAGGCTTCTTAGCTAGTGAGGGGTAGAGTGGCTTTGCTTTTTGCTGGATCTCATATCTCGCACATAGTAGGCACTGAATAAGTAGTTTCTGCATGGATGAATAATCAAACCCTACCACGCTGCCTGCGACAGGACTGAAAAAAGCTGGGAGGGGGAGGGTGGCTTGAACGATTGGTTCTCTGACTGGCATAGTGTGGAAATAAGTTGAGCTCAGTGCAGGAGAACCTGCTTAAATTATTCTCATTTTGGGTTTCTGAGAGCTGTCTTTTTTTTTTTTTTTTGCAGGGGACTTGGACTCTGGAGAAGGCAGGCCCAGACACTGCAACAAACTCACAGCTTCACAAAGATCCAGCCAGGGCCAGTGCCTTAGAGGTGAGATAATTAGGGCCCCAGCAGCAGTCTCTGAGAGGGCCAGGTGAGGGCTTTCTGGCGCTGGCTGACCCTCTTGACTCAAATGTGTTCCTGCCGCTTCTGGGTTAATGGACCTGGTGGACGTGTTCTCATTGGTCACTAAGCAGGGCTGTCTGATGTCTTCAGGGGTTAAGACTCGTACATTCCTTCTCCACCTCCTTCAGCTGTGAGCATCTCGGGAGCTAGAGCTGGAAATGGAAACTGGCCTGTGGGTCGCTATGACCCATCCTCTCAGGAGCCTGTGCACTCAGCCTCATCCACCCTCTACCCTCCACTGTAGGGTATCAGTTTGGCCTTTGAGGATTGGAAGAGCCCATGGCATGCATGCCCCACAAAATACCTAGCTCTAGCCCAGTGCCCAGCACAGGTAGTAGAAAACATAATTTTCTTTCTCTTTCTTCTAGAGTGATCACTCACTAGACACATGTGGGAGACTAAGGGTCTGGAGGTGGGGTGTGCAAAGAGAAGAACAAGGCCAGGCTTACTGTAGCATATCTGAAAAGGCCAAAAGTAATGCAGAACAAAATAGAGCTAGAGGACGGGGTAATCAATGCTTGCAGAGGGCAGGGTCATGGGAGAAGGCTTGATGGGAAAGGTGGCACATGTAACGTACTGTCCACACCAGTCCTGCACAAACCCTTGGCTCTGCACAGACCAGCCTCTTTGCTGTGCCCCAGATACCACTTGGGTGGCTCCACAGGCACTATCCACCCAGACCTCTCACAGGTTCAAGTCTCACTTTCCCTTGAGGGTCCTTCTCTGTCTCTTCATCCTGCGATAGTCTTCAAGTGCTAAGGGTGGCCACAATGACTTGCATTTGGTAACCTGTACTCCTTGTCTATACCACCTAAATACAGATGGATGCCTAGGTACTTTCTATCTGTTAGTCTTGTTCCTTCATCTAGACTGCAACGTCTTTAGCAAGAACACCATCTTCATGTCTCCTACCCTACCCACCCCAGCACAGCATTCTATATATGGTAGGTGAGCATGCTATATGGAGGATGAATGAGAAGATAAATGAATAGATAAGGAAAGAAAGAAGAGAAGAGGAAAAAGAGGGAGAGAGGGATAGAGGGAAGAAGGAAGAAAGGAAGGAGAGAAGGAAGGAAGGAAGACAAGAAGAAAGGAAGGAAAGAAGAAAGACTTTTCTGTTTTTTTGCAAAGGCTAACACCCGCCTGGCCAATTGAGTTCTTTCTTTGCCCTCCTTTCTTACTTTTTCAGCATAAAGAGTATCTCCTAAATTTTTTCACTTTTTTTTTTTTTAGCAAACTATGACATGAAGTCATGTATGTAAAATTCTCAGGCAACATAAAATAATCAGTAATTTAAAAATATTTATTGGACCCTTGCCATGTCCTCATGATAGTTCCTGCCATTGGGAGGCTTACCGACTGGCTGAGTGAGATGAGTAACATATGCATGAATCCTTCAGCCAGACTAACCTAGTGTCTGGGAGCTCCAGATCTGGAGGGACACATGCCCAGGATCCCAGTATAATCTGAAGCGATCGTTGGGGTGATTATATATGACAATGACATTTAAATATATAGCTTTATCTTAGTTTCCTCATCTGTAAAACAGAGGTGCATATCTCATAGTGCTGTGAGCATTAAAAGAATTAATATATCTAAAATGCTTGGCATAGGCATATAGTTAGTGCTCAATAAATATTACCTATTGTTATTATTGCCACCAGATAAAGGAAGGGCTTGGAATATTGCACGGGAGCTTTTAGGCTACAGGCCTGAACTGGCTTACATCAATCACTCGGCTCATATTCTATTAGCCAAGGTTCTGTCACATGTCCTCACCAGTCTGAAGGAGAGGCTGGAAAATATAGCTGGGCCCTGCCCAAGAGGAAAAGGAAACGATTTTGTGACCACACAGTGTTCTCTCTGCCATCGTCCCCAGTGACTTCTATCTTGCCATACCCCATGGACACCTTTATATCCTCACCTTGCTCTGTCTCTTGTGGACTTTCCAAAGAACCGATCGCAATCCTCCCTTTCGAAATACTCCCCTTTGTAAGTCCATTTTCCTGGCTTTCTTCCTTATTTTGGCTGCTTCTGTTTCTTTCTCCTCTATCTGTCTTTTAAATGGCTGGGGTGAGCATGGAGGGGTTGTTCATCAAGAGTTTGTGCTCTCTCTCTCTCTCCCTCCAATCTCCAGGAAAACTTGCTTGTGTATAGATCCATTAAAATTTTTAAAAAATATATTTTTCAATAGAGATGGGGTTTCACCATGATGACCAGGATGGTCTTACACTCCTGGGTTCAAGTGATCCACCTGCCCGCACCTTGGCCTCCCAAAGTGCTGGGATTACAGGCATGAGCCACCACGCCTGGCCAGTAACTCCATTTTTAAATCTCACTGCTGAGTACTAGACTCATGTCCACTGCCCGCATGATGCCTTCATTCAAACATTTAACTCAAAATTAACATTTCCCAAACTGAATTCATCATTCCCGCCACCTCCCAGCAGGGTCAGCACATTGCTCTTCCCCAAATATTCCCCACTTCGCGTGCTCACTCACCCTGTTGTTCGACCCCAATCTTAGAAGTTAATCTTGATTTTTTTCTTATCCTTATTCTCCCTTAACTTCTTTCACAGATCCACCAGCAAGACCCATGGACCCAAGTTCAAAATATACCTGGAATTGACCGACTTCTCTTCTACTATTGCAGACCAAGCCTTCATTCCCTCATTATCTTCTAATTTGATCATGCAATCGTGTTCAAACTGGTTTCACTTCCACTGCTCCTGCGGTGCCCCGCACCACCACACCCATTCACCACACAGCAGCCAGGGTGGTCTTTGTAAAACATAGATGGATCACATCACTTCTCTGCTTAAACTCCTTCCGCAGTTCTCAATTACACTCAGGAGAAAATTCACCTCTTTCAACAGAAACTTCAAGGCCTTGAGTGATCTCGCCCCTGTCTGTCGCCCTGACTCATCTCCTGCTGCTCTTCCCTTTGGAGATGCAGGCAGGAGACTGGCCAATGTATTCTACATGATGTCTCTAAAGAGTTTACATTCTAAATGGGGCACAGGTCTAATTTAGAGAAAGCTTGTCAACAAACAGCCACGCTGCAGCTGTTTAGGTGCAAACCCAAGTGCTACAGGTAGAAAGAAATAGGACAGCTGAGTGTGTCTTGCAGAACAGCTAGAGTAGAAGGAGCCAAGACTGTTGTGTACCACTGTGCACCCAACACGTGGCACAGTGCCTGGCATAAGAAGCAAATGAGTGACATATACAAAAGATGAAAATGAATGAGTGACCTTCCTGCCCTACTGATGCTCACAGCCTGGTGGGGAAGGCCAACTAATAAACAAACGCTTGGTGGTAAGACACAGGATGGCAGGGTACATCCAATGTACTCTAAAGGGTATATGGGCAGAACTATCAACTCAGCTTAGAGAAGGTTCAGGGAAGACTTCAGATAAGGAGGTCACACTTAGCTGAGACTGAAAGGATAATTAGACATGAGTCCAGATGAGATGCAGGAGACAGGAATCTCAGGCTGAAGACGCAGTGGTGCAGGTAGATGAAGCATGGGGCTCACTGCTGCGGGGGCCACTAGAGAGCCAGATGTGACAGTGTGGAACCAAGCATCAAACTCTGTGTCTCAGAGCACAGGCCTCTATGAAAGGAGAAGGTAGAGAGCGCTGGTTGGCACGTAGTAGGTTGTCAGTGGATGTTGGTGGAAGGATCGCTTGCTGGATTACTAAAGGCAATGTAGAACAGATTTGGGTGGGTCTTGAAATGTAAAAACCACAGTCTAAATGGAAGGCAATGTGTTAATATAGGTCATAATTAATATTGACGAGAAGATAGTCACCAATGACGTGAATCACTCAGGAGGAGCAGAAGCCAGGTGAATAAAAAGGTACGTCCGCCAGGCATGGTGGCTTATACCTGTAATCCTAGCAGTTTGGGAGGACAAGGTGGGGGGATCACTTGAGGCCAGGAGTTTGAGACTAGCCTGGCCAACATGGTGAAACTCATCTCTACTAAAAATACAAAAATTAGCTGGGATGGTTGGTGACTGTAATCCCAGTTACTCAGGAGGCTGAGGCAGGAGAATCGCTTGAACCCAGGAGGCGGAGGTTGCAGTGAGCTGAGATTGCACCATTGCACACTCTAGCCTGTGTGACAGAGGGAGACTCCAACTCTGAGTTGGAAAGAAAAAGAAAAAGGTATGTCAAACACTCCAGCAGGCCATGCTGTCTGGCCCTGCCATGATGGGTGAGAGGAAGGAGAAGCATGGGGAAGGGAAGACTTCTTGACTTTTGACTTCTTTGGCTGCTATGTGGAGGCTGCCTGGGCTCTGCCTGCCCTAGCACCTGCTGTCCCTGCCTCCTGGGGGAGGGCGGGCCTTGGGAGGTGCTCCCAGGAATGCTGGTCCCCAGAAGAGGTAGCTTTGCCTGTGGTTTGCCAAGGTGAAAGCTGGGGTCTCAAACATCTGTCCCTCCTTGCTTCTTCTTTGCCCAGACACTGCAAGGACAAAATCACTGGGACTTTGCAGTTTCTAGCAGTCTGCAAGTCTGGGGTATTCAAACTGAGTGAATGTCTGCCTGGAAGATGTTTGTCCAGGTGGAACTGGTGACTGGGAACACTCTGGGTAGTTTTGAAAGACAGAAAGACAGAGCAGGACAGTCTTGGGGAATGTGGGAGGCATGGGACACTCTCCTTCTATGCTCTGGAGAAGGATAAAGTATGTGAATGATCTTTGGGTTTCTCTTCTTTTTAAAATCCTAACCCTTACCACACCACCCTGCATATTGCCCACATGTCTCATCCCGGTGGTCATAACTGTGTCAGGGGAGGTTGAAAGCATCAATAAATAACAAAAATAGCTAAGCTTCTACTGAGCTAGCTATAGTTCTAAAGCCTTAATTGACTTGTTCACTCCCCTCCACAACTCTGAGGTAGGTTCTTTTCCCATTCCCATTCATGGAGACCAGGGCTCAGAGAGCTGAAGCTATTTGCTCAAAGTCACCTTCACAGGAAGTCTCAGAGCCAGGATTGGGAGCAGGCAGTGTGGCTCCTGAAATCACATGCTTTCGGGGTGACTCTGAGGCAGAGAGTGGAGGAAGACTCCCAAGTCCGAGGAAACAGTGAAGGCTGTGGTCAAGAGGTAGTTGTTGAAGCTGTGTTCACTGCCAGGTTGAGATAGCCCCTGATCTGGGTGCCAGGAGGATCCTGGCTCTGTCGTGTGGGTGGAATGCACTCGGCAAACACCCTACAATTGCAGAACCTTTTTTTTTTCTCATTAGTCTGGTGGGAAAATGATCACTAATTCACAGCAAAGTGAGGAATGAATGAAGGAGCATGTGCAAAGTGCCCAATGCATACGTAATAGGTGCCAATAAATATGTTCCTTCTCTCCCGGGTAAAGTTGGCTTCGGGCTAGGTTCAGTCATCCTTTCCACAAATATATGTGGAGGAAATGGAGAGAACAGGCTGGAGCAAAATGGTTGGGAAGGGGAAAATGACCCTTAGTGACCAGAAGGACAAAAATAGATCTTAACCTGTAAGAACCCAGTACCTGACAAATGAGAGTTAGTTTCAAAGCAATTGCCTTAGGAGGATGCACTACTGTTCCAGGGATGCTCATACTCCACCAAACACTTGGATTTTCCTCCCAGGCCAGGCCTGGTGTGATTCCCATGTCAGTGGCATGCTAGGGAAGGAGCCAGCCCTTCAGGAAAACTGAGTCTCAGAGATAGAAACCACCTGCCGAAGTCACACAGCTACTCAGGGCAAGAGCAGAAGCTGGGGCTTTGATTTCTCCCTGGAGGTCTCTCCCTCACAGGAGAGCCTCTCATCCTTCCTCAGCCTCACAGGCTACATTGGAGATAGAGTATGCTGCTCTCATCTGAGGTCACGGTTTATTCAAGACTGGCTCACAGTGGCTTTGGACTATTTTCTAAAATAACTAAACCCACCTCAGGAGGAGGAGGCTGGGGATGTCCAAGGGAATGTTCCCATGCATCTGCCTGGCAGGGGCCGCGCTTGTAGTAGAAGCTGAGCGCCCCACGATCACCGCCAGTGCTGGCATCAAGCATTTGTGTTTCTACATCAGCTTCACACAGAGAACAAGGGCCAGCCGTTTTCTAGTGGAAGAAAAGGGCTGAGGCGAATATTCTTGTACTGGGAGCCTTGGGCTTTTCAGAGTCGCCCCAAAGGTTGCTGGGGTGCTCTAAGGGAGTCTGTTTAAGATTCTGAAGTCCTTAGTCTAGGCTTGTGAAAGGTATTCTAGAAGCGAGATCCATTTAATTCTGAAGAAATAACCCAGGAGGGCTTTCAGAAACTACTTCCCGCCGGCCCTCTCGGGACTCTCCTGTGGGTTAAGGTCTGATCCTCTCTGCCGGCCGGGTGGATTAGGTGACCTCCGAGGAGCCCTGCTGACACCTGGATTCCAGCTGCCTTCGTGGCCATGTGGGGGTGCCTATGAGCGCCCTGACACTGCTAGCGTGGGTGGCTGTGTGTGTTGTCGGCGGGAGGCGCGGGAGTGTGGCCGCGTGTGGGTGTGTCTGATGCTCCCCGGCTTGGGGCCGCGCCCGCTGCGCCCACTTGTGGCTCCTGGGAGCCGCCAGGGGGAACCGCGCTGTCACCGCCTCTGCCGAGGACGCCGCCGGATAGGAGACTGATGACAAGAGGGCGCCGTCTCCCGAGTGATGGCAGCGCGCGCTGCCTAGCCGCCTCCGCCGCTCAGCCCGGACTTCTTACGTCAGGGTAGCTGGGTCCCCCCTCCGCGCGGGAGCAGGCGAACAGCTAGAGAGCAGAGCAGAGCGCGACGCGGAGTCGGGGCGCCCTCACTGCGCGCGGAGCCCCGCCGAGCCCAGCGGAGCCGGGCAGGAGGCAGCGCCGCGGAGCCGGAGCCGGACGCTGCAAGCGGACTCCTCTGCCAGCGCAAGCACTCCTCGGCCGGCGCTGGACCCGCGGGGCGCCGGGTTAGTCCGACGCGCCCCACGCCATGCACGCCGGAGTCCGCGGCTCTCTGGAGCAGCCCCAGCGCGGTGGGCCCAGGCTCCCGGGTCCCGGTGCCTGTCCCTGAAGTAGCTGGGTGGCCGGGGTGGGGGGTCGCCACGTCGGGGACGCGGCCAGGACCCGCGGAGTCGGCCCCCGAGCGCGGGGAGCGGGGCCGCCCGCGCCGCCCCACCATTACCTCTCCGGGCGGTAAGGAGGAGCTGGTGGCGGTCGCCTCTCGGCTGTGGCAGCGGCGGCGGCGTGCCTGCCTGGCGGCCGTCGGCGTACTCCTGGCCATGGCGCTCGGGCTGCTCATCGCTGTGCCGCTGCTGCTGCAGGCGGCGCCCCCCGGCGCGGCGCACTACGAGATGATGGGCACCTGCCGCATGATCTGCGACCCTTACACTGCCGCACCCGGAGGGGGGCCTTCGGGTGCAAAGGCTCCTCCGCCCGGACCCAGCACCGCCGCCCTGGAAGTCATGCAGGACCTGAGCGCCAACCCTCCACCTCCCTTCATCCAGGGACCCAAGGGCGACCCGGGGCGACCGGGCAAGCCAGGGCCTCGGGGACCCCCTGGAGAGCCGGGCCCGCCTGGACCCAGGGGCCCTCCGGGAGAGAAGGGCGACACGGGGAGACCCGGGCTACCAGGGCTGCAACTGACGGCGGGCACGGCCGGCGGCGTCGGGGTGGTGGGCGGCGGGGCTGGGGGAGGTGGCGACTCCGAGGGTGAAGTGACCAGTGCGCTGAGCGCCACCTTCAGCGGCCCCAAGATCGCCTTCTATGTGGGTCTCAAGAGCCCCCACGAAGGCTATGAGGTGCTGAAGTTCGACGACGTGGTCACCAACCTCGGCAATCACTATGACCCCACCACCGGCAAGTTCAGCTGCCAGGTGCGCGGCATCTACTTCTTCACCTACCACATCCTCATGCGCGGCGGCGACGGCACCAGCATGTGGGCGGACCTCTGCAAGAACGGGCAGGTCAGTGACCCCTACCCGCACGGGCCTCTCAAACCCTAGTCAGAGACCTGAACCTCCCAGGGAACCAGTCTTCTTTCTCGCCACCCGCGGGCTACCGAGCGAGCCCAGGGAAGCGCGCCTAGTTACCACAGCATCTCTGCTTCCCAATGCGCAGAGGCCTCGCTGACCAGGACGTAGTGCCAAATGCTGGGCCTTGAGAGCTCAGAGATCCCCATACCCAAACAGCACTCCTTGGTCACTTGCGTCCCTGCCTGCATCTCCGTGGGCTTCTCGGAAACCTCAGTTCTTTAGCTCCCTCCAGGTCGCCCCATTTGTCCTGCAGCCTCCTTTCCTCTTGGCCCTGGCCCCTGGCAGTCCCACCCTTCCACTCTGGGTCAGTGTTCACGAAGCTTTTCCTCTCCCTCTTTCCCAGACTCGCCGGAGGGACGAGGAGGGGGGTGG